GTGACGGTTACATGGGGTGGCGGTACCGGAACCGGAACCGTCCCGGAACCGTACCGTGTCCACCCCTATTCAAAAGAGGGGAAAATAGCACATGCAGTAAGACGGATCGGAGTATATCAATTTCCATATCAAATTTAAGAGTGAGGAAGAAAAAAGATGGAGTCCCGACATCAAACAATCAAGATTACTGGCGATGAGATCGAGGTACAGAGATGGGTTAGAGTGATTAAACAAGAGATGGAGTGGTGGCCGGCGATGGTGGCGAAAGAGCACCGATGATTGACGGACGATGGTGCAACGGATAATTTCCCTGGGAAGAGAGAAGAGAAGTGCCCAAAGGAGAGTGACGTCCGATGATTGCCCTAGATCCCCTTTCTGCTGTTCCTGTTTTGCCTCGCACTCGCCACGATATTTGGAGTGGCTCGCGACATCACACGCGATCCAATTTTCGTCTCTCTCGTTGTACCGCTTTACTTTCCACGAATGGCAGGGCGTGGCAATGTAAATCTTTGCCGTTGCCCATGCTCTTAGAAAAAAATTTACAAAAAAATTAGATGTGTTTTGTAACCTTCCAAAAAGGAACATTACCGAGTAATTTATTATTCATGTTGGGACTGCGCGTTCCCTCACCCTAACCCCGCATTAGTATGATATTGTCCGCTCTGGGCCAAGCCCCCACGGATTTGTTTTTGGACACCTCCCAAAAGGCCTCATACTAATGGGGTTGGGTGAACCTATATATTTTGGTCCATTTTTTTTCCCTCCGGTGTGGGACTTGGAGGAATCCCCAACAAACCTCCCCTCAACCAAGGACCACACAATTTCCGACTTCCCCTCTAGCGGTAATCCATTTTTTCTTTTTATCTGCTAACCATCTTGCACCGCCGCACACTCTTTGCGGGACACGCCGCCCGACTTCCTGTCGGGAAGACTTTCGACGCAAGGCTCGAACCGCAGATCTTTCCTTCGCTAGGCTACACCATTTGATCTGCCAAATCATCCTGTACCGCCGTGACTATAACTTCACGGGACGCGCCGCCCGACCTCCTCTCGTCGGGAAAACTTTCGACACAAGGCACCACCTGCAGATCCTCTTTCTTGGTCTTGGTCTTGGTCTTGGTCCTAGTTACACCGTCACACCGAGATTTTTCCACACTGCACAGTCCGCTACTCCCGCCCTCAAGAACTTGGGCTCCGATACCACATGTTGGGACTGCGCGTGCCCTCACTCTAACCCTGCATTAGTATGATATTGTCCGCTCTGGGCCAAGCCCTCACGGATTTGTTTTAGGGCACCTCCCAAAAGGCCTCATACTAATGGGGGTTGGGTGAACCCAGGGCCGGCCCAATAGGGGGACAAAGTGTCCGTCCGGGCCGGGCCCAATAATTTTAGGGGCACCAAATTTTTTATTAAGTATTTTATACATATATGTATATAAGATGCCCATTTCAATTAAAGCCCAGTCCACCCACCCCTTACCTTACTTCTATCCCTTATTAGCCCAATCCACCCCTCACCTTTTAGACAAAAAAAAATCAGAAGATGAGCCGAACAAAGAGAGGACCGGAAGAGGCGAAGACGGAAGAGCCGGCTGCCGATAGCGGAAGAAGGACGTCGCCTCTACCGCCGGACGCCGACCTCAACGGCTCCACCCTCCAGGCATTCTATATTCAATTATTCATATCATAGCTTTCTAATTTTGTAATTTTTATTTCTTAAATCTCAATTTTTCTTTCTATGTTTCATTTTTTAGATTTAAAATTTAGGGTTAATTATTAGTTTTAAATTTGAAATCTGTTTCTATTTTCATTCCTTAAATATAATGAATTAATGGTTTTATATGTTATTTATTTGTTTTGGATGAATTGATTTGAATTTGTTATTTATGATATATTTATATAAAAAAGACTGAAAATTGAAAAAAAAATTAAAAACTGATAAATTGACGAATTGATATGAATTTATGATTTATAAAAAAAATTAAAACTGAAAAAGAAAAAAACAATTAAAAAAAGAAGTGAAGATGTGATCAACCAATTTGCTCTCAAGAATGCAAGGAGAACTTTTCGAACCCTCGACTAGCTTTTACGGTATTACTATTATTTTTTCATTTATTATTTTCTTCTAATAATATTTTGTTAATTATAATTTGAATATAATTAGTTTACATATGTGAATTTGTTAGACCACTAAGAATAAAACTTTTAGGGCCTTTTTTGTGTTCCGGCCCAGGCACATGAATCCTCGGAACCGGCCCTGGGTGAGCCTATATATTTTGGTCCATTTTTTCTTCTCCCTCCGGTGTGGGACTTGGAGGAATCCCCAACAATTCATGCTCCCAACTTAGAATATTTTTTTGTTGAAAATTTATCCAAAGAAATTACTTTGGAAAAAATAACAGAAACTATAACTAACACTCCGAAGTGTACTCCGCAATCTATTTTTCTTCTATCTCTATTAGGATTAGGATCAGCCCTCGTTACTTGTATTTATATATATACCCTCATCATGTTTCGTATTTTATCATAAAATTTTAAGATGGGCTTCCTAACATCAAACACGGCGGCACCGCTTCAACCACGGCGGAGCCCCACCACTATGGCGGCCGGCGCGTTCTACTTGCCCAAAGAAAGCAAGAAAAGGCCCCTCGGAGAAGACGCCCACTTCATCTTCCCCGAAGGCCAGACCATCGGCGTGGCTGACGGCGTGGGCGCGTGGTCCTTCCACGGAGTCGACGCCGGAAAGTATTCCCGAATGCTCATGTCCAAAGCAGAAGCCTCCGCCCGTTCTCAGGCAGGCGGCGGGGTCAATCCCATGAAAGCCTTGACGGACGCTTACGCCGGCACGAACGTTCTCGGCTCTTCGACGGCGTGTATTTTGACGCTAACGGATGACGGAGTCATCTCGGCCGTTAATGTGGGAGACAGCGGGTTCGCAATCGTACGGGCCGGTTCGGTGGAGTACAAGTCCCCGGTCCAGCAGAGGGAGTTCAACTACCCGTTCCAACTCGGGAGAGGCATATGGTCGGACCGGCCGGCTGTGGCAGCCCGGATCAAGGTGGAAGTTCGGCCGGGTGACGTCATAGTGATGGCAACCGACGGGCTATTCGACAACGTTAAAGACGAATTGGTGGCGGAATTGGTCGGCGGCGGCGCAGATGCGCCGGGAAAAGTGGCGGAGCGGTTAGCGAAGGAGGCGCTCAAGATCGCAAAGAGTAAGGACGTGGAAACGCCGATCGCGTTGGAGGCTCGGAAAGCGGGGATAGAATATTCCGGCGGAAAGTACGATGACATCACGGTGATTGTCGCCTACATTGAAGCTGCGGCAGATCAATCTGGAACGATTGCTGTAAATTTGGGAACATAGTTTTAATCTGAATTAAATATGCTTTGAGTTCTCTAAAAATTGGGTATTATATCTTGGTAAATTCTCTCTAAAATATGTAGACATAAAGATTTTGGTCAAGATACTTCATTCTACAATATTCTTCTTACCCTTTTACCCCTCCTTTCATTTGTAGTTCATTTTCCAATTTTAATTTTGATGTGATGATCAAACTAAAATGTGATTAGTATTATCTGTGATAAATTATACTGTGATAAGTATGTCAATGAACCAATTCAACTAAAAGCTCAAGCTTGTGGTTGTGGTCCAGGAATGTAATTTATATTCTAACAAAGTAGGTTAGAAAAAGTATATATAAAAGTAGTTTTTAAAAGAAAGTAAAAATAATTTAGGGGAAATAAAAAACGGAAAAAATATATTAAAAAATAGATGGAGTAGTTTATAAAATTTGACAAAAATTATTTTTTAAAATTAATTTGTATAAGTGTGTGTAAGTGTAAATTAAAAAATAAATATTATATATTTAAAATCTAAATCGAAAGTTTTACAAAACAAGAAATGACATAATTATATTATTTTATTAAACCCATTTCAACCTCAATATAAACATCCAATAAGTGTATCAAAAGGAACCTAAATGTACTTAAATTGGGAGTCTCTTAAAAATATATTGTTTTAAGTTTTTGAATAAGTGTAAAATCTGTCTAAACTTTTTAGATCCTACTGTATGCGGGGGTTACCGTATTTGTTTTTTTTTTACTTTAATATCATCAACAATAATTAGAAGAGTATTTTTGGTATTTCAACTAGTAGTTTTCGGATAATGTTTTTTTCGAGTGGAAAATATTGTAAAACTATTTTACTCATTAAGGTAGAAGAATATTTCATTTACCATTCTCTCTTTCTATTTTTTTTTCAATTCTCATTTGACAATTTTGGTGAATTTATATGTTATATCAAAAGATTTATTTTGAAATATTAAAATTTTATAAAACTTGTCTATATCTGAAGATAGATATTAATAATTAAATTATTACATTGAAGACCATAGGATATCAATTAGGAAGAAAATTTTGAGACAGAAAAAGTAATACCCAGTAATAAGTTTACTTCATAAAAGAATGAGCCATGCTAGGGGTACACCAAATGTGTACCTCATTTGTCCCCCACCCCCTTTTCCACCATTCATTTTTATCTACTTTTTATTTATTTAATTTTTTTTAAAATTTTTGCCCATTTTTGTGGTAATGGAGGGGGTGGGGGACAAATGGGGTAGTGTACCCCTAGCATTTTTCTAAAAGAATATACTGGAACAAAAGTCGGGAGAAAACGAATCCCAAACACCACAAAAGGACTCCAATTCGCCTTTCTAATCAATACGAGAACAATGCTATTACGAGAACGAGGAACAAATTAATGCTCTATCCACCGTAAAATGATCTTCTCGTTCACTATTTACATGTATGGTCAAACTTTAATCACTTTTTTGATTTATTTTTGTTAGTTATTTGATAAAATAATATAGTCATGTCATCTATTGTTTTGTAAAACTATTGATGTAGTTTTAAAATATTTAATTTTTATTTTGCATCTATAATCAAATAAATTAAATTGAAAATAATTTCAATCAAATTTCATTAACTAAACAGGAAAGATTATTTTAAAACGGAGGGAATAACTAAGATTGAGACATGACGTCCACAATATAATCATTAATAAGCGACCGTTGTGGGGGCGACCACCTCTGAAAAATGGGGGGAGTCTCTGGTGCGCACTAGGATATAGTCTAGCTAAGTGTTGTGTTTGGATCACCGTGATTTACCTCCTCTCACATTCCCGTCAGGTCGGGGGTAAGGGGCGCCCGGAGTGAGCGATTTCAACTTTTGAAGAATTAATAAGTGAACCAAAATAAGCAAAGACGAGAACAAATTGGAAGGTTGGGTCAAGTTTATAGGGGAAAAAGGTTATAACTTACTATAGAAACATGCAAATTGAGCCTTCGTTGGTGTGGATTAAAATTGCATCACTTACTGTGAAACCTTTCCACGTAATAATTATTTTTATCTCTGAATATTTGTTTAGTTTTAAATTTTTTTTTAATTATTTTTAATTTTTGACATATGATTAAGTGTCTGTTCTTTAGAGCGAGCTTAAACTCTTAACTTTCAATTTCTTCCAATTTTTCTCTGGTTCGTTCCAGTTTCTTCGAATTTTTACTAGTTTTTTCAAACTATTCTCATTTTCTTTAATCTTTTCCTACTTCCCAAATAATGACTAAAAAATGAGTTTTCATATATCATAACTAGCATTATATTATTATTATTATTATTATTATTATTATATTATTATTATTATTATTATTATTATTATTATTATTATTATTATTATTATTATTATTATGCATGTCACATGTTCATAACTGTCATTTACTTTTCAATTCTCCCATTTTTATTTATCTTATGTCACTATTTTTGTAATTTGAACTCATTACAATATTTTCTTTCATTTATAATATAATTAATACAAAGTACAATTTTATTTGGAAATTTTTTTTTAAATAATTTTAATGAGACTAAACTATGTTCTAAAAATTAAAGATATTTTATTAATTCAAAGTCAACAGGGAAAAATATCAATATTTTAAACTACAAAATAATATTTATACTACTCTTGTCCCTAATTAAATGATATGTACAGTATTTACGTGGTTGAGTAATATTCACTTTTTTACATATAATAGTAATAATAATAATAATAATAATGATAATGTTAATAATAATGTTGATAAAAACAATAACTATAATAGCAATAATAATAAGAATAATATGTAAAATATACTTACATAAATCTTTCAAGTTCTTCCAGTTTCTTCTACTCCGTATTTTTTTCCAATTTCTTACACTTTGTTCTAGTTCCTTCAAGATTTTCGAGTTTCTTATAGTTTCTTCTAATTTTTTCTATATTTTTTTAACATCTAACTCTTTTAATTTAGCCCTAATTAAAGAACAGACTCTTAGGTAAATAATATTTAGAAAATGTTCTGTATTCTAAATCTAATCAGTTATTTTTGTATAAATATCTAAGCCTATTAATTTTAACAGCAAAAAATAAAAATAGACAAATACTAAAAAGTGAAAGTAATAATGTGCTTAATGTATAGGGAGTGTAACACTATGACGTAACGTTTGTAAATCAAACGACCCCATGCATAATATTGTTTACTCATCACATAAATTAAAGAAATAGGGTTAAATCCCATGCTCATGCTCATTAATTAAATTTTAGGATAATTTATCTAAATATGACTAAAACATAATGACTTTTTTAATATATGACCATATGTTTTTATTTCTTAGTGTAGGATCATTGGTTATTATCTATTAGTCATTATTCAACTAAATGTCCAGCATCATTTGGACATTATTCTTCTCACTAGTCACTATTAAGTCTTATTTAGTAAATAAAAAAGTTTAAGTCCTACATTAGGAAATGACTTATGTTTTAGTCCTATTCAATGCAAATTTCACTAAATTTTAAGATAAACCAACAAAATAGGGTTTCGCCTCGATTTTTCAATAGAAAAAATAATTTAGCAAATTTTAAAATAATCGCTTAAGCACAATAATTAAACTCAAACATATACTTTTAGGGCCCATACTATTATTGTTTAATTTTATATCTGTTAGGATTAGGATTAGTCGTCATTTTATTATATAAATATATACATACTCTCATCTATCTTGTTGAGCATGCAACACAATCGAGTTTCTTAATTATTATTTCATCATAAAACCCACTCATAATTAGTTCACTCCATAGTATTTTAAAAATGGGCTGCATAACATCAAACCCGGTGGTGCCGCTTCAACCACCGCCGACAGCCACCACGATGGTGGCCGGCGCGTTCTACTTGCCCAAAGAAAACAAGAAAAAGCCACTTGGAGAAGACGCCCACTTCATCTGCTCCGAAGGGCACACCATCGGCGTGGCTGACGGCGTTGGCTCGTGGTCCTCCTTTGGAGTCGACGCCGGAAACTATTCCCGGATGCTCATGTCCAAGGCCGAAGCCTCCGCCCGTTCTCAGGCAGGCGGCGGCGGCGGGGTCAATCCCATGAAAGCGTTGACGGACGCTTACGCCGGCACGAACGTTCTAGGCTCTTCGACGGCGTGTATTTTGACGCTAACGGATGACGGAGTCATCTCGGCCGTTAACGTGGGAGACAGCGGGTTCGCAGTCGTACGGGCCGGTTCGGTGGAGTACAAGTCCCCGGTCCAGCAGCGGGAGTTCAACTACCCGTTCCAACTCGGGAGGTACAAAGAGGCGGACCGGCCGGTTGTGGCTGCCCGGATCAAAGTGGATGTTCGGCCGGGTGACGTCATAGTGATGGCAACAGACGGGCTGTTCGACAACGTGAAAGACGATGCGGTGGCGGAGCTGGTCGGCGGCGGTGGAGGTTCCCCGGGAAAAGCGGCGGAACGGTTAGCGAATGAGGCTCTAAAGATCGCGAAGAGTAAGGACGTGGAAACGCCGTTTGCGGTGGAGGCTCGGAAAGCGGGGAGGAACATCTCCGGCGGCAAGTATGATGATATCACGGTGATTGTGGCCTACATAAAAGCTGCGGCAGATTAACTTGGAGCAATCACTCAAAATTTGTTCTTCTTCGCAAGCTAAAGATTCGTTACACATAATGATTTTTTTTTTTTGGACTTAGAAAATATAAAACCAGTGATTTTGTGTTTTGTAAGAAATGTTTTTTAAAATATCCAAATCGAATTTGTTTTTTGTCCTTGTAAATCCTTAAAAATTAATTCTATATTTGTAAGTAGACCATCTGCAAATAAATATACTTGACCATGATGATTCAATTAAAAAAAATTATAGGGACTGGAAGTTAATGTCGTTCATTTTATTGAGACCAAAAATATATTTAAGCCTTATACTTATTATGAACAAAGTTATCATTACTGCATCAACAAATATAACACCGAGTTTAGGGGAGTAGGAACTCATACCATGTGTTGGGTCTGAGCTGTGAAATAAAACTAGAATGAAAGCTAGCCAAATAGGATATTAATATATACTACATTCAAGACCATAGAAAAACAAATATGAAAAAAATTTTGGGATAAAGAAATTAATATTTTTTATGTGGAGTGATGCTTACATGGTCCCAACATTCACATTTAAAATGTGGATTTTCTCACATTTTTTATGGGCTTACATGTTGATATTTTGTTTGAAAAACGCACACTTCTTTAATGCTACAAATGCATTAACTTTCAGTCTTAATTTCTAACCTTTTATATTTAATTATATTCTAACGTTAAGTCTTAATTTCTTTCAAGTTTTTCCAAAGTTTTTAAACTCCTTCACATTTTATTGGACTCTTTCAAGATTATTCAATTTGTTTTTATTCTTTCCAATAGTGATTTAAAAATTAATTATTTGAAAGTTGGTACGAATTAAAAAAACAAAACTTATACATTCAAAAAGTATACTCCCTCCGTCCCATAAAACCTTTCTCCTTTCTTTTTTTATCCGTCTCACAAAACACTTCTCATTTCTATTAAAAAGTCACTTTTACCCCTTACTTTTTCATACCCTAAGTATCACATCATACCTTTTGACTAATAATCTATCCATCAAATCATACTTTTACCCATCACATCAAAGGACATTTTTGGAAATTCAATACCAAAATACACTCCCCTTAAATCCCTCCTAAAAAGCAAAATTCCCATGTTTCATGGGACGGAGGGAGTATTAAAAGATTTACAAGATAACAATAGCATTTGTGTATAATTACGTTTACCGTACTCAATGTGAGAATTTATTAAATTTATTCTTGTCATGGGCCGAAGGCCCGTTAACCTCGAGACCACTCAAAGCTCGTTAACTCCTCGGTGATAGTTTTTAGGTTTTACTCTCTAAAGTCCAAACCAATCAGCTTGATTCAAAAAGCCCACAATTACTTTCCAATTAATGGTCAGTTGGTCACGTGGCAACTTCCATGTCATATTGCTCCCTAAAATATAATTCCTCCCTTAGGGGATTTTAGTAGGAAAGATTAAGGTCAAGAAGTACCAACATTATTTTCCGTACATTCGCATAAATATTCATTGTTAAGTAATTGAATAATACTCATTTTCGAGAAACTAAATGTTCATTTTCAAACATAACTGAATTGAAAAAAATTCATTTATTCGAAAATAAGAATGAGTTTACAATAACTCATAAATGAGCATTCGCCACGAATGTACAAGGAAACACAGTGGCTCTGTTTGGTATCATCGTTAGAGATTAGCATTAACATTTTGAAAAGACTATCCAACGACAACTTTAGTGTTAGTGTTTTCAGAATTAATCTACATTATTAAAATTGTATCCAGAACACTAACACTAATCAAAAATGATTTTCACAAAAAGTCCACGATATATATCGTGTGGGCTAAGAGATAAACTTTCCTCATATACGATTTCTCTAGCAGTTGTCCGATTCTTTAGGTTCAAGGGACGCTTTTTTATTCCTATTTGTCGGTCCAAAAACAATGGAATATGACTTGACCCCGCATTACTTAAGCAGATTTGCAGAAAATACTCAACTTTTCTTTACGAGCATATTATGGTGTTTTATAAAGAAAAACAAATTACGGAGTATTTAATTTAAATAAAAAATAATGAGAAATTAAAAAAATTATATAACCCATATTTAAAAGATATGAAATGCATCAAAAGTTCTACAACACTATGCATTTAGTAAATTTATATACCCGCATTTAGTATAATTGAGTTTTGAAAAATAACTTATTTAGTAAATTTATATACCCGCATTTGTTATTGTTATTAATATTTCTATTATTATTATTATTACTACTACTATTATAACTGTTAAAATAATTTTAATTCAATTCAAATTTATACCAAATTAGATCATATCCAATCAGATTAGGTTAGACCACATCAGAACTTTAGGAGATTAAATCAGATTGGGCGAATGGAACACAACCATATTCAGGTTCAACACCAAACAACGACAATAAAACTAATCATGTTATGCATTACTGCAGTCGATCACGTCGAGTTCGATCACTTCGAGTTTGAGATGCTTCAAGTTTGGGTAAGTTTGAGTAGAGAACTGCATATTCGTGAACCAATGTCATCGTATTTGGATCGATCAAACGGGTTATGATCTTTATTTAAAAATAACATATACTTCGTAAGTAATTGTTATGACCCATTGTCAATATTACGAATAAAAACAAAATTTGCAACAGTTTTGGGAAAAAATAAGATACCTATGCAAATATAAATTCATTGTATGAAAATATAAACTCATATATTAAAGACATTAAATTTCATAGACATTAAATTTCATATTAAAGTATATACTTTTGAAACATTTTTATATTAGCAGATTGGTAAGGTGGGTAAGATCGAGTTTGAGTTTGATGGTATTTAACCTTTTTTAGCGGGTCAAATGTTGTGACTCCGGTCAATGAGTCGGATTTTTTTTTTATGTCCCTGCAGATTACATACTCCGTATAACCCAAACACACCCCTCCTTTAATCGGCACCGGTCAAAGCTTAGAGCCTGTTTGGGAATAGCGTTAGCGATTAGCGTTAGCGTTTTGAAAAAGTTATCTACGGGCAGCGTTTAGCGTTAGCGTTTTTAAAGTAATCTGCACCGTTAAAATTTTATCCAAAACGCTATCGCTAATCTCTAACGCTATTCCCAAACATAGCCTTACTTTACTCTATATCAACCTTCAGGTACAGGTAGTAACCAAGACCATTATAATTGGGATTCAACTTTTTTCAAATAAAAAAAAGAATGCTAGGTTCACAAATAAATGGTCACAAATCTCACAAAGTTACTATTTGTGAACTTCAATAAAAAGAATAAAATAGTTTAAAATAATTTTAAAAAGAGAATTTAAACCATAATTGGTAAGTTTGCGAGCTTTGCGATCATTTTGCTTGTGAACCTAGCATTGCTCAATAAAAAATAGAAATTTTTAAAAGCAAAAGATATGGACCATAAGGATTAGTTTCTTTATCGCTTTTCTTTTGGGTCGTTCAAATTTTTTGGCAACAAAATTTTAATGAATGTGAGATTATACGCTCACATTTTATCTACACCATTCACTTTATTTTCTCACATCAAGAGTAAACATTAAATCTTTTTACATTTTTTAGTTTTTCTTACTTCCCGTACAAAATTAAACCGAAGAATAAATTTTCAAACAGAGAAGGTACATTATAATCAAGGAAATAACATTGACAAAATATTTAAAAAAGAATATTCTCTAAAAAGAGGCCAAATTCTAAAAGGGAATAGCATCAGCAAACATATTCTGCAGATTCCAAATAGGGGAAGAATCAACGGTCCATATTCTCCCAATCTCCCTCGTGGAGTATACTACGGTTGTTCCAAATTTATGACCACTTTAAACAATGTGCAAAATATTATATTTTCTAAATTATTTTTGTTTATAAATTGGTTGGAAACTAAAATACACAAATTACATACTTAAAATTTAAATAAATAATTGTGCTAAATAGGTAATTACAACATACTTTAGTTTATCAAATACACTATGAAAAGCATTGAAAAACTATCATCCAAAACCCTAAATAATAACTAGATTACATTTTTTAAAGATAGAGAGAGTATTTAGGCAAAGAGTTGAGGGAGAACTACGAATAAAAGGAAATCTAGATTAATTCTAAAATTGCTAACGCTAAAATCAATCTTCCTAATTGCCAAATGGGCCATGATCAAATATTGATTAGCTTTTGTTACTATTCAAGCACTCACTTCATAAAATAATACTTTCATCTCATATACTCCGTATTGATTGGTGTTTGACTTTTTACAATTTCTAAACATATTTTGGATTATATTTGTTTGATCCTAATATTTGAACTTTAATGTTTAATCTCTGTCTTACAGATGTTACAATTATGGAACAATATCGAATATCGACAACGCTCTTGTAAGGTTAGGATTAAAAATTTCGACAAATTTTGAAGTTAAAATACTTGTCTCATTTTTTCGTTCCAAATTTCATAAAGAAAAAAAGGAGAAATAAAATGACCGGAGGAAATTTAGGAATAAAGGAAGAATGGGGTCCCGCAAAATAAATAGACATGCCAAAAGAGCGCGTGTTAGGAAAGGTCGCGGAAAACCTAACCCCAACGCCAAGCAGCGAACCAACTGCTCCTCCGGTCCGGACCGGACCGGACCCGACAGGGCGACTATAAATTCTCCATCTTCTCCCCCCATTACAACGCAGCAATCGTTCATTCATATGGGATCTGACGTTTGGGACCTCTTCCTCTAGCGTTCCGTCGTCGTCTTCTTCTTTCTCTTCTGGTTTTCCTGCAAAAATCCGTGGAAGAAGAGATCGAGATTCGTCAGCGATGGGGATATTGGATGCAGGAGTGAGAATCGCCGCGAGGTTCAATTCTCACTGCCCTCAGACGTCGAGGATGTACTACCATCCTCCTCCGCCGCCTCCGCCGCCGAAACAGGATGATTCGGCGAATCGCCGCCCCGACGCCGGAGATGCTTCCGGTAAGAACTGCGCCGCGGCTGGTACGCTCTTCTCCAAGGCGGCCGCAGGGATCGATCCCGCTCATTTCATTCTCTATTCTGTTTGAATTTAATGGATCCATTGCAAAGCCATATCATTTTTTGAATTAATTGTTAGATCGAGCGTCACATTCATTGAATATTGTTCGTCCTTTAATTCGATCTGTACTCGAATCATCATTTTTGCTTGAATCTATTCATTGAATCGTTCAATTATTTATTTTGGCTTCGTTCTTCTAAAGTTCCATTGAATCTATTTGCAGAAATTCGTGTTTGAAATTGAATTGGTGAAATGTGAGTAGTCCGTAGAAAAGTTCACAGGGTGGTTCCCCCATGTCGCCCAAAGTCAAATTAGTCAATAAAACGTTTAAACTTATTTTTTCTTTGAACAATGCTAGGGTACACCAAAGAAGGTGTACACCACCCTTTTTTTCATCACACATTTTTATTTGATTTTTATTTATTTATTTTTTTTAAATTTTTTTGCCTATTTTAGTGGACAAGGGGGTACACCTTTGGTGTACCCGCATTTTATCTTTTTCTTCTGTTCGTATAAAAAATTTGCACCTTTTTTTTCAAGGAACACCTCAATAAATCATATTCCCTCAGCCCACAAATAAATTTTACATTACGCATTACGATGTTTGACTAAAGTTATTTTCAAATCATTTTATATGAAAAATGGTGTAGAATTGAAAAATAAAAATTACATATTTAAAAATTATATTACAAAATCTACAAAACTAGAGGTGACATAAATATATTATTTTATTAAAAGGGTGACGAAAATAACAAAGTGAATAAAGTTTGACCCTGTGAATAAAGTTTATTTGTGCACGGAGGGGGCAGGAATTTTACAATGAATTAATCTGTGTGTGCCTGAAATGTAAAGTTTCCTTTAGAAATTTACATTTATTTTTGAGTAAATTTCTAAAATAGTTCTTAATTATGTATCTTCCAAAATTAGTCTCTAAGATAATTAATTATATTCGTGTACTATTATGATTATGTTCGGTAATACTAGATCGAGCTGGGCCAGCCCGCATGCGTGAACATAAACTCGAGAAAAAATTGCTGCTAGGTACCTTCAATTTTGTGATAAGAACTCGCAGGTCTCATTATTTTTCAAAATATAGTCCGGGAAACCTTAAAATATTCAAAAAGTGACCTTCAATGTTTCCTTTTCAGTTATCTTGTTCTCCTTCTTCATTTCTTCTTGTTCTCCTTCCTCTTTTGATCTCCTCCTGGCTCCTCCTTTCTTCTTTCTTCTTTTTTTCTTCTTTCTTCTTCTTCTACGCCTTCCCATCCAATCAGTCTCCCATCCCTCCCCTTTTTTCTTCTTCTTTTTCTTCTATTATTGTATTATTATTATTATTTATTTTATTATTTGTTATTATTATAATCTTTATTTTTATTTTTATTATTTTATTTAATTAGTAGTTTGACTAATCTAACTTTTTTAGTAATTTTACTACTCTAAAACTTTAATTGAAAATTACTTTTAGTAATATATTTATGTATAGTTTATAAAATTAAAATTATTTATTCACTTGGTTATAAAATTATCTACACATCACATCAAAGGTATTTTTGGAAAGTCAACACAAAATTATTCCTCCCTTAATTTCAAAGTCAAAATGTGTAAATCTTTTTGATACAGAGGGAGTAATTAATATGAAGTAATAATAATAAGTACTACGTAGTATTATTTTTATAAAAATTACAGAAGTAAAATTACTTATTAATAAGTGTTATATTTCTAAATAACAATTACTGATTTTTGTAGAAAAGAGTAGTAAAAGTAATAATTAATTTTAAATACTAATAGTAATAATAATAAATAAAAAAATTAATAATAATAGAATAAGAAAATCATAATTAATACGAAGTAATTATAATAATTAATAACAAATAATAATAATTATAATGGAAGAAGAAGAAAAAAGAATCCAAAACAAAAAGTAAAAGAAGAAAAAAGAGGAGGTGGGGTGGAGGATCACTTCGGAAGGCAAAGGAGGAGGAAAAGAAGAAGGAGAAGAAGAAAAGAAAAAGAAAAAGGAGGAGGAGAAGAAGAAGATAGAAAAAGAAGAAATAACGGAGAAGGGCATTAATGGGGAAAGAGACGGATTGTCACCCCGGAGTCATTTTTTCAATATTTTAAGGTATCTCAGAGTATATTTTGAAAAATAATGGGACATGTAAATTCTTATCACAAAACTAGAAGTACCCAGTAGCAATTTTTTGTAAACTCGACCCCAACTCTTAACATTGTGGACCCCTATTTTTTATGGACTGGGCTAGCTCATACGAGAGAGTCGGGGACTCAAGCCCGTGAATGAGAGTAGCTTGAAATAATTCTCTCATTTAAATAATTTCCAACCATATACTCCCTCGGTATCTAAATATTTGGTATAGAAATAAAAAAAATAAAAATTATATATTAAAAAACTACATGAAAAATTCTTCGAAATAAAAAGTTTCAAGAATATTTTATTTTATCAATTAATCAATGAAAACGTATAGATAAACAAAAGTTTCGCGACTGGTGAAAGAACATGTGTGACAAGTATTTTGGAACGGAGGGAAGATTTATTTAGTTTTTCAATTTTTTTTTGGAATTTTGGTAAAATGAAACAGTAAAGGATTTTACGGTATGGAGCACAAGAATAGTTTTACTCCGCATCTTCTAAATAAGAGCAATTAGCACTTTGCAATGTCATTTGGCATTGTATGATGAGTATTAATGTCTTTGGAATTATATATTAATTACTTTGCTAGGGATCTTTTAACTTTGGACCCAAAGATCATTTTATGATATAGACACCTACAGTGTTTCCGTTGGTAAAATTGATTTGTTCTTACCCTCAGACCCTCATTCCTGATTGGCTACAGTATGGGTTGGGGTGGTGGGACATGGAGGCTGTTGTGGTTGCAGGGGTGGGGGGAGAGGTTAGGGGAGTTGAAACCATCAATTTTTTTAACGAAACACCGCAAGTGCCCCGGATAACCTTGAAATCCAAGGTCAAAATATCGTTGGGTAATTACTTTTATATATTTTAAATCTTATTTTGGCATAAAATATTAGAATCTATAGCAAAATATTCTATAAATATTAATCTTAATGAGGAGGTAATTCTTTAAGACACTGCATATTGGTGTTCTATATTATATTTTGGTATCATATATTTACATTGTTATTCTTATTTTGAAAATGAAAACATGAAGATTCACAAAACTAAATGAAGACAGTAGAAATAATAACTCTCCTTTTCTATATCAAAATAGCAATTTTCCTTATTCTTAACATATTTTATATTACCATTTTCTTTTGTTTTCATTTTTTTCTCTAACCAAACATGAAAAACTAAATTTAATTTCATTTTTCCTTCTCTCTTAAATTTTTTGAACCATAGTGCAAGGATAATGAAAAGTAAAATTAGATATGTAATTCTCTTTTCACTTTATAAGGTAAGGAGAGAAAACAACCAATTTCTCCCTTCCCTTAACCCTCCCTCACCCCATCCCCATCTTTGCACAATGTTCTCTCTCATTTACTCAAAAACAAACAAAAACATTATTTAAAACTAATTTTCCTACTAATCAAACATGATTATAATTTTTCATTTCATTGACTTCTTTTTCTTAACACTTTCATTTGTTTCCTACTTGCCCAAACCAAACATAGTGTTCTAGTTACTATCAATAGAGACTGTTTGCCAAACTACATGATGTTACCAAGTAGGAATTAAAAAAAAAAAAAGAAAAGAAGATGAGCTAGGAATGCTTGGCAAATTATTTCAAAAGAAAAAAGAATGCTTGGCAAATAGGTGAAAAACCGGAAGATTTGAGTTTGAAACACACAATCAGAGCAAGACAAGCAATTTGCATTTAACAAAAACCAACATGTAGAAATACATTTTCTAGTACATGGGAATTATATCCACATTTTGCTTTTGCATCACTCGGTGATAGAGATCGGCTTGCGTGCGACGAAGAAGTACATTGGCGTGAAGATACCTTTCCTGAAAGAAACACAAACTTATAACGTTACTTGCCAATCTATTTAAGGAAAATGTTGTTTTAACTCGGAAATTTCATGGATGACATCAAAAACTTCGAAGTTGACACTATAGAGATAATCGCGCACAGATTATTATGGTCCCTGAAAGAGTCATTGTCAGTTTGTCACCAAAACACTAGTGGTGTCAAATCCGTGGTGTGACTGCAGCATGACCTTCTAACTAACATGTCACAAATACTCATGTTGATTTTGTATCAAGACTAAGAAATCCATCGTAAAAGATCGACCTAACACGGTCATGAGCTTAATACACCGTATGTTTTAAGACCATATTAAAGACTTGGTTCCTCCTTAAAATGTCAACCTAACCGGAGGAATGACCTAATGTCTTGTTTGTATTTTGTGTTTTTTCGTGTTTGTCAAGGGATGGCCTAACAGTTACTCCATCGGTTTTAAATAACAGTTCAATATAACTTTTCACATACATCAAAAACAGAACGAATCTGGACATACGTTGTGTCCAATTCATTTGATCCTTAATGTATGTAGAAAATCATAAAGGACAATTATTTGAGAACGGATGGAGTAGGACCTAACGTGGTGAACAAACATTATGAATAGCCGAAAACAACTCACTTTCCACCGGCAACAAGTCCTTCTGCTGCTTTCTCTAAGAAATCTTGAACCCTTTGACTTCCTTTGGGAGCAACTCCCACATATTCAAGTGCCTTGACCTACACGAAGAGTGTTAACTAGCAACCTCAATGCAGGTTGGTTGTTGGATGCGGCATATTAAACTACAGATCTTACAAGGTTTCTAGTCAAAAGACGTCCAAGTGCTGTTAGACGGAAGCTGCTGAGTGAGATGTGACTTGTATCCAATGGCAAATACCAAGGGATAGGTGAGTTCTCTGCAAGATCACTCTCCCAAACCACCTACATAAATAATGGCATGTTAAGAACAAAGTTAAATCTAACTCAATCCCAAAAGACCTCTCAACAAGTGTACTTATTAAGAGGTTCATTCAACCACAAGTCTCCGCGGCATTAGCGATGAGAGTTCACATAGTTTGAGCCAAGCCAAGCGAAGCCATTTGTATAACAAACTACTCAAAAAAATTACGTATAAATTTGGTCCGGTTCTTTTTTACACTGGACTCCAGTGTCATATTATGACACCGGCCATTTGAGGACCCTACGGTGCTCTGTTGCGCCCAGAAGTTGTTCCTACCTCAAAATAGTGGATTTGTTAAGGAGGTTTAGGCCCTTCTCTCGAGTACGACCTCCCTAGACCCTACTTTTGTGGGATTTTACTGGCCTTGTTGTAGTTGTTTCTAAGGAGGTTAGGGGGTAGTAACTACTTCCGGACCCAATGTAGCATCGTAGGGGCTTGGTGTCAAAAGAACCATGGTGATATAAATTTCATACTCACTTCAAACCCTGCTTTCTTGACTGCTTCAAGACATTGTGTAGTGAGCCTCACATCAGGGAGGCCATTACCAAGCTCAATTTCTAGCTGAAATCATTAAAAACATTGGGGATTTAAAAATAAATCCACGATGCAAAGAGAAACCTATAGCTACATAAAAGTGACATGCATTATAACTTTATGAACACCTTGATCTTTTTATGGTCTGCGTTGTTAGGGTCATAGGAATCCGTCATGCACCATTCATAAGCAGCAAAACATTGTCCTGGTTTCAGTACCCTATGTATCTCCTTGTAGCACTCAACCTTTGCATGAAAGTCAACCAAGTCAAACCAGAGAAGAGAGAACATTGGGTTAGAAAGAACAGTACAGTAACAGATGAAGTCACTTAAAATGCTAATTAATCAAAGCAAAGATGTTACATACTGCATCTGGTGCATGGCATGTGGCTTCAATTGCATACACGGCATCGAAGCTATTGTCGGGGAAGGGCATTTTCATAAAATCTGCCTGCCATGTCACCAATAACTAATCAACGGGTGTTTGGGACGATGAGTCATTTATAAAGGATTGAATGATTGGTTAAGTTACTGACCTTCACAAAGTCACAAGTCTTGTCTACGCCTGCTTTATGGTTCAACATCTATAGAGCAACTGAGTTAGTAGGGTATGCCGGAATGAAACATGAAGACTACATAATATCTGAAAAAAATGCATAACAGACAAGACTTTTTTAAGCTGAGGTAGAGAATTCAGAACTTTCACCTTTCCTCTAGATATCTGATATTCATTGTTGTTGAGGCCTGTGACCTTTGTAAGGCTGCATGAAATCAAGAAAAGTATGAGTCTCTCAAGTCCCATTGTCACATAAGGGAACTGATGAAAAAACAGTGTCCTAAGAAGCACTAAACTATTGACTCAAATCTGGCATCTAGGTGGGGCATATGATGTTTAGCTTTAGTGATTTGAAAATGTTATCTAATGGAAGTGTTTTGAGTATAGATGGTAACCTGCACAATTAAAACACTATCCAAAATGTTAACGCTAAATGAAAAAAATATGTTCCCAAACAAGGCCTTAGACAGAGTTGATCTAACACCACTCACTCACCTGAAACGAGAGATTTCTCTTAATGGTCCGCCTACTCCACATCCTACGTCCAAGACCTATGGAGCATGAAGAAGAAAGTGTCACTACATTGGCAAAATTTGATTAAAATAAATTGTTAAAAATAATGGTCAATTTTTTTAAATTGATAATGCTGTACTACCTTCTGTCCGGGCTTCAAATTTAAGTGTAGTGCTAGAAAGTGTTCGTGACGCTTTATACTCTCTTGAAGAGATTCTCCATTCCATCTGAAGGAAAAGAGCAAAAAAAAAGAAAAGAAGAAAGTGTTAAGTGAATCACAAACAGAGTATAATGGAATTTCATCAAATGGATATGAAATAGTGAAAGAAGGCGATAGAAAACGACACCCACCTCGGTGCAAAATGGAATGATTCTCCCCAACCATATTCATAGAAACTAGTGACAAGATCATAGTATTTATTGACCTAAACAAACAGGAACAGAACATTACACCACTTCTACTGCAAAGACAGATTATGTTATGTAATTCATAATAAAAAAGAAAAACAGAGTGAACATTTACTTTTAGAGTGTAAATGCATAGTTCTATTTACTGCCCGAAACTTCATAGAAAGTAAGAAGCAAAGGGAGTTAAATGTGTCATTACTTTAGTTCATCATGTGCCTCAAAGTAAAACATTGTCAATAATAATGACTTTTTTAGCTTCATTGTCAATAATAATGACTTTAATCCAACAAAAGCCATTGAAAAACTTTACGTTCAGCATATTCATACATTCGTCACGGACATTGAAATGGAAAACTACAATCAACCTCACAATTCACAAATTCTCACAACCACTTTAATTCAATCTTCCCGCCATACTATGTCTTACACCATATATCGTCACGGATATCGCATTGTTTACAATAGCCTTTTTGGGGATCGAAATTGAGAAACATACTCCCTCTGTCCCAAATTAGATCGCACAATTCGAAGAACGTGCAAAGCCCTGTGCTTTTTAGATTTAATTTACTTACAAGTTGGTATATAAATAAAAAATGCATCTTACATATTTAAAAACTACATCAAAAGTTCTACAAAAAGTTCTACAAAGTAAGTGACGACAAGAATATTTTATTTTATGAAATGGTCAATAAAAAACATGGAAACAAATCAAAGTTATCGAGAGATCAGAATGGTAATTGTGTGATCAATTTTGGGGCTGATGGAGTAAAAAAGATGGCATCTTTTGAGAGTAAGAGCATATAGATAAAATCAAGAGGACCCAAAGTGCTTGAATTAATGGTTTGAGCTTAGTGGTACAGTAGTTCATCTTAAGTTGTGGGCAATAAATGCAATAACAGAGAACAAGCAGGAACACATGTGAATGCAATCAATAGAGTCTTAGAAGAAGAGTCTCATCACCATGTCAGTGTAGTTATTCTTTCTGTCCTCCTCTTCACCACCATAGTAACCATGGTACTTCTCATACCTGATCCGATCAACCAAATCAAATCACAATTTAAGGAAACAAGAAAAATCAGCACTGAACAGAGAGAGAAGGAGAGAGGAGATACTTCTCAACGGCGGAGTGAACCTCGGACTTGTCGATCTTGCCGCCAAGCCCAGATGCGAAATCAAAGGTGTTAGACATCTCTCCTCGTCCGACCCACAGCTGCTGTTCCTGCGATTCAATCCAAAAGCCCAATGAGAAAAAACATCAAAAACCCACGACGACAAGCAGAATCGTCACATGCTCTCCAAGAAAAGGGAAAGTCGGATCAGATTCTTTTTAAGGTAAAACGCAGTAAAGATCCAAACTTTAGAGGAAAAAGAAGACAATGCAGCTCACACGTATGGGGAAGCAGAGAGGATCTCGAGAGACCCTTTGGGAGCAATCAGAAATCTGGCGATGGAGGTGTGGAAAGGAGTGTGAAGAAAGCTATGGAGGAGGATGATGGGAATGTTGTGTGGGGAGATGCCACGTGATACGGACCGCGGCACTGTGCGGAATATGGTACTCTACTAAGATTAGGACTTAGGAGTTTGGTCTTCGGACGCCAGCCATATACCAAAGCCCATTCCATTACGAGTAAGGACCCAAGTTTCAACCAATGATCTTCAACCCGGACCGGAGGTCGACCCGACAGGGAGGATGGGTCCCGGGACAATCTGGGGTTAGGGATGACAATTTTATCCGAATCCGACTTTTTTTAACCTGACCGAAGCATATAATATCCGAATCCGACCGAAAAATTTAATATCCGAAACCGATCCGAACATTTTTAAACCGAACCCGACTGTTGTTGGGTCGGTTTTCGATAATTAAATTTGACCGACTCGACCCGTACCCGACCGACCCGATAATCAACCCGAAATATTAATACCTTTTTAAGAAATAAAAAAACTTTTTCTAATTAAAAGTCAACCTACTCTCACTCTCGTATCCACAGAATCTCGGTATCAACAGAAATCTCTCTACTCTCACTCTCGTATCCACAGCCCTCCTACCGGGGACCACATCGGCACAGTATTCATGGCGATTCTTCATCGGCGACCGCACAGAGCACAACCTATCTCCTCCTCTAACAAGTATCATCATTGATTCGAATTTCAGTTGCCAATTATTTTATCATTATTTTAATTAAAATCATTACAAAAAACTAAAATATTATTACATTGGTAGGATCTGTCGGGTCGGTAGGGTCGGTCTGTTTTCAGGTCGGGTTAGGCATAGATTTTTGTTAAATTATTGTGTTCGGTTGCGGTTTCGGGTTTCGGTTTAGGCAGTTGGGTTCGGGTTCGGGTTCGGGTAGGAAATATACCCGACGGTTCGGGTTCAGGCAAAAAAAAATCCGTTACAGATTTCGGGTCGGTTTCGGGTAATGGTATATCTGAACCGAACCCGACCCGTTGCCATCCCTATCTGGGGTTTTCTGTGATGACCCGGTTTTTTCCAAATTTTTCCGGATTTTGCGGGGGTGGATCTAACTAGTTGTCTGTTTGGGTCGCGGTTCGACCGGTTGAACCGCTCGGTCCGATCCGGGTTTAATAAGATTGGTTTCAACGAAGTTCAACTTCCTTTTTGATCTATATATTTTTTCTCAAGGAGGGTATCCGAAAAGGTCTATCATATTATCTGGTGTAACATAGTGTTCATTTATCAGCCAAAATGTATTTATCTTCATCCCTACCAGATCGAAAGTTTATTTTTGAAGGCTATGTTCATCCAATCGTTGATGCACCTCTGATTCGAGAGTCGTCGCCACTCGAAGATCTTAGCTTGCGTTTCTTTTCGTTGTAGCACCTCCGATCCGAGAGTCACCGCTGCTCGATGATCTGAGTATGGGAAAAACCGTACATACGCATGTAAGGTAGAACTTGCAAGGTACTTGCAAGTCTTTTTAGATAGTCTAAATAACTCTACTAACAAAAAGAATTGGATGCTCTCTCTCTCAATAACAATTTCTATAGTAAAATTATAAGTTACGGAGTATTATTTTAGTTCTTTAGCCAAAATGTATAAAAATACCAAAATACGGAGTAAGAGTTTTAACTCTTTTAAGACTAGAGAAAGAGTATAATGACAGTTTGATGTAAGAGTACGTGTTGTCAATGTGATGAAAAAGTTATGACAGCGTAATATGACAATATGATCAGTCAACCACCAGTGATTGGGGGTAGCACTCTGGTGACGAGTGGTGACGAATGGCAGTGTGGCAACGATAGTGTAACAAATGCAGTGTGACAATGTGATGAGTGTGGCAGTACAACAATGACGGTGTGAACTCCTACTTTGACCTTAAAAAACTTAGAATCTTATTTCAGGATTTTCATAGCTTTTTACTCTTATTCAGGAAGTTCTCCAAAAAGCAATACTTCCCTCATTCTCGTTTAGTTGTTTTTTTCGATTCGCGTGTCAAATGTTAGACTAACTATACATAAAGGTATACAATGAATTAAAATATAAAAATTATACAAAATTATTGGCATTGAAAAATACTTTAATGTATTATTTTTAATATTTTTTACGACTATGTGTTTTAAGAGATATTATTGATCAAACTTTAAGTTTGAAAGCAAACTAAATACTTAAATAGGAGTGAAGGAAGTGATTCATTTCCAACCAATTACACCAAATTCAAATGTAAAATAATATTCTAACAATATATTCTTTTTTTAGATTAATTTTCACGCTTTAAAAATTTAAAAAAAAATGGCAATAGAATCGATATGCTAAAAAATCAATAATGTAAGCTAAAAAAGTTTTAAAAAGTACAAAGTAATACGGAATACACATTTTTTATGAAAAATAAAAATTTATAGTTGAAAGTGATGTAGAAAAAAAAAAAGAAAAAGATTATGAGCTACTCAAAATTTTCCATAAAGAGATTCTTTTATTGAAACATTTCAAAAAATATTTTGTTTGGAATGGAGGAGTAACAAAAATGAGGCTGAAACAAAAGTGGAATACCCCAATTAAACCCATAGATGATATAGATGCTCCTAATTCTCCCAACAAAGAAATCCTTTTACCCCACACCTTTCAATCCATAATATGGATTGGCCATTTGCATCCTCACCTAATATCTATGAAAAATAATTACAAGGAGTGCAAAAAGTCATTAAAGTCCAACTCATTATTCATTCATGCACATCCCTACTAATTACTCTTTTTGTCCCTAATTTAATTACACATTAGGAGTTACCAGGCAAAATCTTTCGTCTTTTGAAACTATTTTATTTATAAATTGGTACATCAATAAGAAATAAAAATTACATATTACTATCTTCGTCCCATTTTAAATTGCCTGTTTGTTTTTTTTCTCCGTCCCAAAATAAGTTGTCTGTTAGTTGTTTTCGTAAACTTTTAAGAGAAAATACCTAAATAAGTCACTCTTCTCCACATTATCTTCTCATTCATCATCATCCATCCTAAAAAGTATTGACAATTTTGGAAAAACAACTCTGTTTTTCATTTTCCTTAAATATGCCCAAAAGTCAAAATAGACGATTTAAAACGGGACGGAAGAAATAAAAGTTACATTAAAAGTTCTAGAAAAATGAGATATGACAAGAATATTTTATTTTATCAAATAGTCGCCAAAATCACACAAATAATATCCTCTGAATTCCACCAGTGTGTGGACATGTTCCAAACACATGGTATGTTTGGACATCACAATAAAATTATTTGTTCCTAAGATTGTATTCCCACGTTGCTTTAACAATATTTCTAATTTCACAATAAAAAAGTACATGTCCCAAACACTAAATCCGTCCCAAAAAACTGAGATGAAAAAAATCTGAAAACAAGCAGTAGCAGAAACAGAGAACTTAATAAGCAGCTCCAACAATGGGGGAGACTTTAACCTCGTCAAGAACAGGGCCGCAGAGACTCCCATAATCATGGACCTTGTTGTGGTAGAAGGAGCTGAAGAAGGTAACCCTGGTCCGGGTCGAGATCGCCCTAAACTTGAACCCCGCGGTCTTGAACTGCCCCTTCCCCGAGGACCTGAAGGGCACTTTGAAGGCGCTCTTCGCGGCGAACGCCTCCACCATCATGTCCCCGTGGCAGCCGTTCTTCGCGTCCCCCACCGTGAATGTCAGGGCGTAGGACTTGTTTGGGACAGTCCTTATGACCTGCGCGATCGCGCTCTCCCTCCCTGCGACCAGCTCCACCGCGCCGTGCCCCGAGGGGACGTTGAAGTGCGGCGCGTCGATGTACTTGACCGCTTTGAGGGACTCCACGACCCACCCTGGCAGCGGGGACACCGCATCTTGCTGCCTCGGCGGGATGAGGACCCCGTTTGTTGCATTGCTCAGGCAGAGCGGGCCCTCCTCGAAACCACTGTTCCTCACCAAGTTGCCTGAGAAAGCATTGCTTGTAACATTAGTCACTATAATAATGGGTCCATCCATTTGAGGTCCCTAAGATGCTTCGTTCGATCCAAAGTAGTTCATGCCCCAAGTCCCACCCCCTCGTTCCCCCCACCCAAAGAAGATGGCCTTGTATAGGTGGGGTGCAGGAGCACACGAAGAGTGGGTTACGAGGGGTAAGAACCACTTTGGGGTCAATCAGAGTAGCCTCAAATGTACCCAATATCAAGAAAAGCAGGCATATAGTTGGGCGCTTCGGTGATTCATTCGTAAAATTGATGATCCCCAATTTCCTACCTTCCCTAATTCCCCCGGCTAAACCCCCGCTCGACCCAAACCCACTCCCTATCCCATCAATTGGACTCGATTTTTTTACCCAAAATCAACTAACCTTGGGGGAGTCCAATTGGCGGGAATGGGGTGTGTTCATTTTGGGCCGGGGTAAGGGGTTTATCAAAAGGTTAAGGGAAGAAGCCAGTGGCACTCGAGTAGCACCGTTCCCCGATGGCAACGGAACCAATCCAATTTATGAATAGGTTCATTCATTTCTATACAACATATATGAAGTACAAATCCAGCAAGAAAAAAACTAAAAGGAAAAACAGGGGTGAAACCATAGTGACCTGTGGAGGGCAAAACAGGGCGGAGTTGCTTGATAGCAACGGCATCGATGAGAGGGCCACAGGCGGGATCCTCCTGCACCCCGGGGTTGTGAAATGTCACATTTGCCCAGTCAGAAACAGCAGTAAACGCATAGGCAACAACATCTCCTCCATTGCTGCTGTACAATGTCTGCAAGGGAATGTCCCCAGACAAAGGGGGCACCCCTACCCTCAGCACCTCTTCCTGCGCGCACGTCCTGGAGGCTGCGAATGTCAGGGCGTAGGCCCGCCCCTTCTCCACGCGGATCGTCTGGGAGATCGAGGCATCGTTTCCCAGCCTGACCGCGTGGACCCCGTGCGCGACCTGGAAGAACATCCCGCCCGGCTGTGGCCCGGCGGAGATGTACTCCACCAGACCGGAGATTTCCCATTTGGGTAGGGCGTGTTTGCCTTGGAGAGTGGTTTTCTTGATGTCCCTTGGGTTTGGGCCCTCTTCAAAGTTCCCATTTGGAAGGAATCCTTTTTTTCACACATCAAAACAC